ATGGTTTCAATTGAGATAATACTTTGAGTCCTACAACAGTACTAAACAACTAGCGAGCTATCGCTACGTCTCAAATCAGTATGACAGATACTGCGGAAGGTTTAAACAACATTTTTATTAAACGTAACTTTTAATTGAACTTGCACAACTCGCTCTACAGATAAATCACTACTTGTGGCGATGTAAATTAAACAATACCAGATACTTAAATTTAAACGTTGATAAAAGTAGCCTAAGATTACATAATCAAATAGAAAAGCTATAAGCTGGCTCAACTGACCTTACTGGTGCCAATATTTAGAGTAGTTGGCTGCAAGAAAATGTAAAGCCGAGGTATTTATATTTAGAGTGAGGTACAAACTCTAACAAAGCTACTCGAGTGCCAGAAGATCTTTCTGTCTAGCCCCAATCCAATTTCTTTCGCTCGCACTTGGTTTCAACTACACAGAGTTATTACCAAAAGTTCAGAGTTGCCAAAGGCCAATCACGGTAGTAAAATAAAAGAGATGTACTTTAGGTACATCTGTCACCCGGAGGCGTAAAAACTTTCAGAGCTTGGGAGTGGCATTCCTGGTCGTGGGGGCAAAAGTTGCATTCAAAAAATAACAAAAGTCGTAATTATAAAACATAGAAAAAAACTGAAAACTATTTACATAAATACAACTACCAAGACAGGTTGTGATGTATGGTGCGGGGTCTTTTGACCACATATTCAACAGTAGGGTCATAGTCGCACAGGCTTCTAATAGAAGCGTGGGAAGAGGTTCTAAGGCTTTCAAAGAAATTATGTGAAGCGATCAAAATTTGTTCATGCATGGCCTTCACTTCAGATCCTCCTGATTTGAGAGTTTCCTCACAAACCACGGTGAGTTCACATCGCTCTAAGTATTTTATTTTGTATTATGGTCTAGTTTAGCACGCTCAGTCTTGTTGGCTGTCGCCCATGCTGGCACTGCGTATAACATAATCGGTTCTGATTAAGGACAGATACAGTGTTCTTTTGATTTTTATCGATAAATTAGACTTCCTGCCAATCAAGCTGTATAGGGCACAGAACGCAGCATTCGCTTTTACCGCTACGGCTGTAACATGGTATTTAAAGGTAAGCTTGCTATCTATAATAACTCCTAAATACTTATAGGAGTCAGCCATCAGAACTGTATCGCTTTTAATTTTGATATCCGTATTAACAATTACATTCTGCCTATAGCGTCTGTAAAGCACAACACAGCATTTACTAGAATTTAAATTGATTTTCCAATCCTCGCACCATTTCGTAACGATATTTACTTTGAATTGCAGTTTTTCCATTGCAAGAGCCGGGCTGACATAATCCGTAAGTACGACCGTGTCGTCGGCGTATTTTAGAATCTTGGAATCCAAGGGATTTGGGAGGTCATTTATAAATATATTGAAAAAACGGGAGCGAGGACTGCTCCTTGTGGGACACCACTGTAATTATCTTTTTCATGGAAATTGCATTTTTCCACACTTTACTTGGAATGTTCTACGGTAAAGATATGAGATCATAAGTTGAAAAAAGCTGACCGGGAGCAGGAAATTGCTGAGCTTATGGATAAGTCCTGCGTGCCACACTCGATCGAATCTCTGTCTAGCATCCAAACCCCTCGTCTTAAATACACTTGAAAGCTAATTTGCATTCTGATGAGTAATACGTAAAGAAGAAGTTAAAGTTAAGATCAAAATCATAATAACTATTAACTTAACATAAGAACCTTACAGTGTATACACCTTCAAAAATGTAAAAATCTCTTCGATCTGCACCTAAACATTTACACCTTCAATATAGAATCATGCAATAATAAAAAAAAACTTTCTCTGCGTTTTTTAATATTCAAAATTAACAAGAATATTTCTGCATGAGTGAGCTCGGCAGGGGGGGTGATTTAGCATCCTATATAAGAATGCTATCGAAACGTCAACGTAGTTAAGACTCATAAGGTACTCTAAATTTCGTTTTATTGTTAAGAGGTGTATTTGTTTTATTAAAAGACATTTTCTGAGAAATTTACTTCTCACGCATTCGAAAACATAACATTTTAAGATTAACATTAAATACCATTAAAAAAGATTACTTTAGAAGCTTAGGTACTATAGCGGAATTTATAATTCACACAATTGTATGCGGTGTTTACTCGCGTATTTTGTCTTCTTTTTCTACTGATTTTGTAGTTTGAAAATCGGGAAGAAAAAAATAGACTGTACATAGTATTTCTGAAATGAAGACTAAAATGATAAACATAATACATTAAAAATACACATGAAGGCACACTAATATTAGTATAGTATGTATTTCAATGGACTTAACAATTTCATTAGTATTCTGTTTATATACAGAAAATACTTTCCTAATTATGCATACATTTTACATTGTTACCATAAATCAGAAATTTCTACATTAGATGTTGAAAATGCTGGAAAAAATTATTCGAAGAAGAAAGATAGAGAAAGATGAAAGTAAATACTCTATCTTTAGTACGAATTAACATTACTTTTAACTCATCTAAAGGGGTGCACCTGAAAAAATCGTAGGGAATTCCATTAAAACTTGAAATAATTTTAAGTGAATTTTTTAACAGTTAAAAGCCACAATTCGTCAAATACATTACATTGTGTACATTGTGATTGCATTTGGTCGAATTAAAATACATCACATAAATTGACAATGAAAATCAAAACTTTCTTTTTCAATATACAATTTGTATTTTTATTTCGTGATCCAAAATGACACACAGAACTTGATAGTATTTCAATAAATAGCATATGAATACTTAAATCTCTAAAAATTATTTGATCAAGAATTACAGTATACAAAGAATTACACTAAGCGAGTATTCTGAATACACGGAATAACTTACGCATAAATTTTCATGTGGATGTGCTTGTGTCTCTGTACATATACATTCTCCAAATTAAGTTATACCAATAGGGTCTATTTTAAGTTAACTAACTATTTAAAGTCATTCTCACCACTCAGTGTTATAATGTTACACATCATTTTGACTTAAGCTGAGGAGCTACGTTAAGCTATTCACATCTCTTAACATCTTAAGTTTAAGCTAATTACGATGTGAATAGCTTAGCTTAGCTGAGAAGCACAGTTACGCAATCAAGTAAAACTTCATTTTATTCTACTTCAACACCTGTCAGGGTTACAATTTAAAAAAATACAAAGCAAAATGTAAGTCTTCTTGACTTGCAGAGAATATCTGGAATGTAAACATAACGTTTCTACAATATAGTATTTATTTCCTATAAAGCCATAAAACTCTGGGTCGGACGACCTGAAACCTAAATCAAAATTAACTTGCATCTAAGGCTAACATCTGCCAAATCTAATTCATGAGAGCAACGATACGATAGCCGTTTACACAGCTCAAACTTTTGTCTTAACTTATGCTATTAACGGATTCGTTTCCTAACTTTAGGGAAGAAATCCCGTCGTACTAAACCGCTTGGCCAGTCAAATATGTAATGCTCTGCCCGGAACAAACCATAAAGGAAAGACGCATATCAAAATTTTAACTTTTAGTTCAACTCAAATAAAATGTTACAAAATAAAATAAAACTGCACATTTCTAATCACAATTAAACAATCTCTCTTTTCAAAAATCCTCTGCCATGCAGTTTTAATTTAATAATAAATTACAAATTAATACTAACTAGAGTAAACACTTTACTTTAGTACGATGAATGGATTTCATAAAATTACGACGAAAGTAAGCAAAGTTTTAATATATATAAATCTCGCAATTAATATTTATAATACTGTTTTGTTGTAAGGTTGCTGATTTGTGAATTAAATCATTTGTTTCATACATAAGACAAAACACATTTCCCATCTTTACTCCATCCAAACTTTCTCCTAAATTCTAATCATCTTTCTAATGCAATTTTTAGATTAAAATACTTTTATATAAATAAATATAAATAAATTGCCATTTTTGTGGCATATCAAATAGCTTTGAAACTCAATATTTTTGAATGATTCCTATAATAGATATGAAAAACGCGCAAATAACGAGGAATAAATTATGACAATCTGATCTATTTTCACATAACAGAACACATTGTATTCATATGCTTTTAATTTGGGATCGATCAATGAAACGTGAAAGGCGGACGACATCGTTTCAATCTCATAAAATGTCGCGTTAATTTAATTTAAAGCTAAAATCTTAGAAGACTTATTCATATGTTAGGCTACTAGATATTTGAAATACATATACTTTTCATAACTATCATTTGTGGAAGATTTCATGGATGCGAAACATTCATTCTCATCAGGCATGAAGCAAAATTTTGGCAATATTCCCAGTCACTTTTAACGATCACATCATTATTGAAACCCATCGTTCCGAAAACACAGCCAAAAATTTGTACTTCCGGCAATGAATAGAATTATAACACGTATTCTCATATGTGTTAAAATAACTGAATATGAAATTTCATACTTTTAAAGGAACAAGCAACTACTGTGAAAACTATATGGGTTAACAATTGCAGTCTAGTTTCTTAATAACACTGATATCTAATTATAATGTTCTCACGTCCTGTATCGCTAAGCCTCGAAATCAGCTTATAAACTTATGTGTAATATTTTTTTTAAACTTATCACGATGTATTTGAGGCGAAATCGGTTCAGAAAATATAATTGAAAAAGTATCTCCTTCATTTTGCTTTCTAATTTTATTCTCTCACGAAAGGAATTTGATTCCTTGTATGGGATTTCTACCCTGGAAAATATAATAGGAGAAGATAAGGGAATAATTTTGTATTTCTGCTTATTAATACTCCAATTAGAATGATTTCGAAAGTTAGATGATTGAAGGATTCTTAAGTATAATATATCTCGCGCCTCAGAAAACAGAAGTCAGATAGATACAAATTGTTTTCATGAGTGTGGCTGTGTGTACGCGGACTGAGTGCGACAGGAAAACATGTGGATGGCGAAATAGTAATAATAATAATCCACTCACCGTCGTTGGCCGAGAAGGGGTGAGCCATCTGAATGATAGAAGGGTCATGACCTGGCTAGTAAAACAACTTTCGGTTGGAAATTAGTAACTGAAATGGAAGCAAAATGATGGCTAGCAGCTGCATGCCAGTCCAGTCTTTAACGCTACGCGTGCATTTACTGGAGCATAGCTACTGCGTTTGGGTACCCCACTGTTCTGGCTCAACTATCGGCCATGCCAGCCGGATTGAGTCTGCTCCATCGCTTGAGCCGCTGTGCTCCAATAAAGAGGCGCTGCATCGAATGCGCATGCTCATAGAGTACAAACAAAAAGAAACACAGGGGGACTCAAATTTGGCAAGGAATGACCTCACTAGTCAGAACGTTTTTAATTTTCAAACATTTTTCTTGTATTTTAATCGCTTCTTATGGTACCTTGTATGAATCAATACGTGAACAAAATATTAAAAATTTTAGCGCAATATCAAATAAATTAATGAAAAGGAAAAAAAGATAACTGAGTTATGCTCGAATAGTCAGCTTCCTTAAATCTGACCCTTTGATATTTCAAACATAGCACTTGTGGCTTATTTCGCCAACATTTAAAATTTTTCTTTTGGTCACTTTTCTGTTCTCAGACTTCATATTTCACTGTTTCCTTACTTTACATAGTAATTTCTTTAATTTCTATCCCAGTTCTAAAAATGTGTGTCTGATAATTAAATCGTGAGCTTTTTCAGCTTTTAGACAGATAAACTGTACGTCACCAAGAGCTATTTTGAAATGCTTTAACATTGAATACAGGAATTTAGAAGCAGAGTAAAAGCCTACTGACTTTTAGTACAGAATGAATAATATCTCACTAATAATGCTGGCAGCTCTAAGGTTGATCTTATGAAACGGAAAATCAATGATTATTTTAAATTTAGAAATATTTTTCTTCAAACTCTTAAACAATCATTTATTTTATTGTATTTTATTTTATTGTTTTTGTTTCGGATGTTGTTGTTTACTTACTACTACTTTTGAAGTATAATTTAAATTGAACTTTATGCCGCTGTAACTACTTTCTCCATTTATTTAATTAAGTTTACCTTAAAATTGACTTTTGAAATCAAGCGAGATGCTAAAATACGTGTGTTGGCTTCGTAAAAATACAGGAATTTAAAAGTGAATTTACAGCACTTATTTTGCTTTAACCTGCTAAAACGGTTTGATGAACGTTTAGGAGAAAATCGTCATTTTTTTCATCTCAGAACACTTCTTAGTTCGATAATCAGCAAATGTTCAGCTGTATGGTTTTTATTCTCCTAGCTGTTTTGAGTGGAACGATGGTTATTTATAAAAAGGTAAATTATGTGATGGAAGTAATGCATTTTGAGTATCTCTGAAACGTTTGACTGCTTATAAGTGCGTTCACTGATATTTTTTAATTAAAAAATGATATAATTCAGAAGTGAAAAAGGGGAAAAACCCGAAAAACTTCGAAATTGCTTATTTTAAATCTCATTCGCAATTCTAGAATTGTGTTCTTTCTCTCGCTTACGCCCATCCCCGACAAGGGAGTAAAGTCACTGAACACTGGTAGTTCGGTCCGAGGTTCAAATCCCGCGAATGGGCTGGCTTGCATGGGCGTTTTCGTGTTTTTTTCCTTGTGTAACATGTACAAGAGATAATTTGCCTTAGAACGTCCTCCCCGAAGTCATCATTTTCCTTAGGCAGACAGCCCACGAGTGCTTTGCCATAATCAAATAAGCCAATTCTTCAGTCGCTTAATCAGAAAGGTAAATTTATGAGAACTTTACAATTTTCAGCCTTTTTTGTATAGAAACTAGAAGACGCTTTGTATTTTCATTACAATATTTGCTCAAGAAGCTAAGTGCGCTGAAAGTTTTCCTTCGTATTTTATCAGGAAATGCAGAATCGTCTTTCTCTTGACAATAATGGGCTTGGTGAATTTAATGATAATAATGATAATAATAAGTAAATTTAAAATGTCTTTTAAATTCATTTTAAATCAGTAATGTATAAATGAAGCATAATTTAAATTTGAATGTTGTCCATATCAGGATTTGAAATTTATGAAACCAAGAAGTTTCTCGAATCCATAAAGTCACAAATAATGAGAGTCCAGTTGCCCAGGTTAAAATTCAGTACTTTAATTTCGCACTCTAGTCTTATTAGGAAATACGAAAGAAATAGATTCCAAAAAATATTTCTACGCTATTTTTTATTACACTTCTTCGAAAATAAACTCGATTTAAGGATAAATTTACTTCGTAAATTGTTACAAATACTGCGATGTCTGCTTGCTTTTCGCTAGAGCATTTTTATATTGTCTAAAACCAGGGCTTAATTTATAAAATTAGAAGTGCCAAAGCCCGGTTAAAGGCCGTCAGTAAAAATGAAAAAAAAAACAAATGAGTAAAATAATTAATAACTAAAATGATCAATAAAAGAAATAAAAGATGAATAAATTAAATTAAATGAACGACAAATAATTAAATAATAAAATATTGGATTTCATCGTACTTGGGACTCTTGGGGGGGGAATTAAATTTTACTTCAAAACTAAGAAACAGTCTAGCCAGGCTGCGGCTAAATATACGATAAAATACATTATTTTAAGAGAAGATAGAAATAAAAAATCATTCTTTTTACAATTCACCAGTGAAGAAAGGTAAAATGGCTAAAGCACGGCTAATAAAAAAAGGTTATGTTAGGTTATTTAAATATGGTAAAGTTAGGAGGACTATCTGCCTAACATAAAGGATGCCTTTGTGGAGGACTTTCTGAGAAAAATTGCTTGTATAATAAGAAGAGAAAGAAAGTTAGAAATAGTATTATTAAAGTATAGAAAAAAATTAATTATAGGAACGAAAACAAAGAAAGAAGCGTCAAATATCTTCAAACTGCGACTCACTGCCGCTACAATTAAATGCCAAGCAGAAAGAGTTTCTTGAGGGAAAAGTGTCTTTGAATCTGCAGGTTGATCTGTAAGCTTAGACAAGCATAAAGTTTTGTATAAGCGACCAATTTCTTTTCCTATGTTCGGTCCGAAACGTCCTTAGGTGTCATTTTCCATGGGGTCAGACATGTTTATCTTAGTATTTCACTATGTTAGATTCTTTATAGTTTGGAGCACATTTAGGGACGTAAACAACGGTTTCCCTTCTGTAAATTCTGTGGGTAACTGAAATTAGCTATGCCGAAACAAAGGATATGATGACACGAACAATGTGATTACCACTATTCTAATATTAATTTTGGAATTAAGTGTTCCAAACATCTCGTAAATTTATTGCTCTTCCGTCTATTTCACTTGTAGGTGAAGGATTTTTCTTGCCTTAAATAACTTAACTTCCAAGCAAGGGTTTGTTTCCTAGGGAAAGACAGGCATGAATTTAGACGTTAATATTGATTTAAAGGCTTCCTTATTACTAACTGAAATGTTACGACTTTTATGCTGAAATTGTGGTTCAGCTTTATAAAATGAGCTCATCTTATTTAGGGCTACGGTGCTCTCCGGCTAGAATTACGATTTATCTCAAAGGCTAAAATGTGACTCAGTCGGGTTCTAATGGACTACGGAGCAATTTAAGCACTTTCTATATCAATAAGCCTGATATAGCATAAAATTCGAATTCGAAATTTTATGTTTAAGATAAGTACGTTAACTCAATTTAGTTAATAAATTCCTTAAAATATCTTATTTTTAACTGAATTCTTTTCGCAATCCAATTTTAGAATTTTCATTACACTTTTTTAAAATGTACAGTTAATTTGTTACATGGGAAGTAAACAGCTGTTATTTCACTAGCCACAGATTTATACTTTTATATTTAATTCTTATTAAGTCTATTGCAATGTGAATATTGATATGGGAACTCTGATCATTATCCTGATATGGGAATTCTGGCCATTACTAAATTCAAATGAATCAGAGATATGTTCTTACATTTGCATTACCCACTCGGAGGAAAGTTATATTTAATTCAAGCTCTTCTAAAATTAAAACACCATCTCCAGGTTAATAAGTTATAAGGTATTTCTCCCACCTTCTTGGCGTGCCTTCGTGGTGTGGTGGTCTGCACACTGGGCGCTTATTCCAGAGGTCCGTGGTTCGATTCCCGACGAAGCATGTTTTTTTAATCATCTTTCTTGCAAAAAAAAAACCTAAATGTTCGCTACAGTGGCACACCCCACCAAGAACTAAAAAGGATGGCGGATGATGATTTTTCTCCCCCACCCAGGGAGGATCTGGCGATTGGTCCTCTAAAAAAAACCCAGTCGCCCTAAAAGGGGAAGGCCCAAGAGTCGGGAGTATCTGCAGCTCCGGGGTTTGCCGGCTTATTCAAACAAAAAGTGGTATTTTGGTTAATTCTGGGCTTAGGGTATTAAGAGGGTCAAGTTTCATTCGACTATTTCTTTTGGTTATTTGTTTTTTTTTGTTTAATTTTCATCTTTCCTGCATCCAAAAAGTACCTAATGTCTCTACAAAGTATTTTGATTAATTCCCTTATTTCCAGAATTAAATTCCTCTGTATTTCACTCTTCATGATATTAACAGTACTACTCTTTTATTTTGTTTTTTAAAGTGGTTTATTATTTTAGATTTCATTCTTTTCTAGAATATAGAAGTGAAGGTAAAGGTATCTAGTGTACTTTCATATCATAAAAGCATACGAAAGGGTATTTTGAAAAGATGGTGTGAATCGTAAATTTTCTAAGTCCTAAAAATCTCTCAAAACTCTTGAGACTTTAATATAAAAATAAGAGGAATAAGTTAAATGAAATACATTTTGATTTAAATTTTTAATAACAGCAATATTTTAAACGTGCCTTTAATGGAAAAAGTTAATAACACAGTTTTAAGTGTATTTATATTTATTTAGAAGATACAAATAAAATTTAGAAAATGAAGTTCTTTATTAAATTATTGTACCTTTAGGTTCATTTCCACATTGCAATTTGATTTTAAAAAACTGGAATATTAGTTCCGATTTTTAAGAGTAAAGGAATATTTAAAGATTTAGCATAAACTCTAAATATGTAAGACAAATAAAAAAGAAACACTAAAGTTTCTGAATTTAATATGGAATCTTTTGCAAGATTCGTTGGATTCGAGCATTCAAATCTGTCGTTAGTATTTGAGAACACAAACATTCCTAGGTGAACATCAAACGTAAACAAAGTGACATCTCACTCATCTATAGCCTTGCATCAGTTCAATAAATAAA